ATTTTTTGAAGCACGCAAATTCATGAACGACATACATTATGGTACATTATGATACGGTGCTTTACAGTGCAGGTGGGGCATAAAGAAATACATTTGGCTACACTTCAAATCGATTTTATCGCATTGCTAAGATTCAAACCGAATGGTCCCATCTTATCAGTGAAGAGCACCTTCCTTTGTTGAGGCGTTTGGACAAGTTACATTTGCTTTTGACCATTTCAGGCTCTGACAAGGCGAAGAAGCCGAAACGAAGGCCTAATAAGGTGCTCAAGCTCGAAGGGCTTGAAGAACAATCCTACTGAACTTATCATAAGAAGGCTAAAGAAGGTCGAACATGGACTCTCCTTTCCATGAAATAAACTTCATATTGGCCTTCAACGTTACTCCGTAGGCCTCCTTGAGCTCGACGACGATGACAGATGACGTCATATTCTGAAGACGGTGAGGGCAGTGAAGGAGGGCCTGCGTCTACTTATAGAGGGACATTTAGGGAATATTCTGCTGAGGAACTTCCGTCAACGACGGCAATCTCTGCGAAGAAAAAAGGGCCGAAGTGCGACATAGGCAAAATGTCTTTTTTTGCCCCCCCCCCCTCTGCAATACAAAGGGTAGCAATTTGAGGCAAGAGAACAGACTCGAGGAGGGAGCACAGGGGACGAGCAAGACGTGGAAACTAGCGCGTTTGCAACTAGGTTCGTGACCAGATGCATAGGTTGCGCACTTATGCAAGAGTATGGCGTTTTTCTCGCTCTTTCCGAGCCCCAAAATCGGCAAAGCTTGTACATAAGCAACAAAATGGATTAGTGAAACTCATCCAATAGAAGAAGGTGCTTTTACCTTCAAGCAAACGGTCGACATGGAGATCTTGAGAAATCAGATCTAGGAAATCAGTATTTGTTCGGGTTGTTTAAAATTTATTCACATTCCGCACTCCCACAATAACAAAAACACGAAAAACTCTAGTATCTGCTGATCTTTTCAGTATTTGTCAAAGGCCCCAACACTTCTACTAAGCTGTTAGGCTTAGGTTGTTCGAAACATGAAACTCTGTCCAGTAGAGTGAAATAATGTTTTTCTTGAAATAAGAAGATGAAACAGTCATAACCACTCGGCCTTTGTGAAAGGCAGAATAAGTCGCCATGCTGCTAAAACTAATTGCAACGTCTGCTTCGCTCCAAAACGCTTAATCATCCTTCTCCTATGGAATTCGTCAATCGTCAACATTCACGCATTGTTGGGCCTATCAATGCACCAAGTAACTAAGGGAAAACAGAAGTGTTCATGTTCTGATCCATAGCACTTTTTTCTCGTGTTCCCAAATGAAGATAAGCCCCGGGTTTACAGCTTTTTGTAGATCAAAAAAGAATCTGGAGAAGTGATGCCATCACCTGTATCAGCTGT